TTTACACTCGAGCCTAGTGTTTTAATAAGGACATTACACTCGAGCCTAGGTGTTATTTAATGATGGCTGTCCTTTTACACTCGACCCTAGGTGTATTATTAAGGACATTACAATGATTTATGTATTCTATCATTTTAAATGTGAACAATCAATTACCAAGTACACAATATAACAGTGTATAATAAGAATTGAAAATCGGGTTAAAACAAACAACTCTGCAAGCTAAAACGGTTTGTTTAAAAGGTTTTCAATTCTTAAAGTGTACAATTATGAAACCATATAATTAAAATCATGTGATTGAGTACAAGATATACTTGTACTTTTGCTTGTATTCCCCCCCTGAAAACATTGAAAAACCATTGAAAAAGGGTAGGGGTATGAACTCACCGGACTCAGAAACGTGTCGGTTTTGAATGCTAGACATTGGTTCGGGGTTTGATTACTCGCGATGACCCTATGTAAAATGAAATAATGTCCATATATATACAATTAGAGATACATTCACTAATCATATGGAACATTACACTCCAATGAGGTTAAACACCTCAAAACGAGCGTTTGGAGTGACCCGGGTGACATCTTCGGACTTGTAATGGTACTAGGGACTTGGGACTTGAGTTTACTCTCCATAAGTAAACATTTAAATGAGTTTACAACCATAAAACACACACATACATGAGTTTACGGCCGTAAACTCATGTGGGTGTGGTTTTGATGGATTAAGGGCTCAAATGGACATAGGGATTGCTAGAATGGATTATCTAAAATACATTGGAACACTTGGAATGCATTTAAATCATCAAAATGATTATTTTATGGGAGTTTACGGCCTAATATAGGCTCCTGGCCGTAAACTCCTTAATCTTCATGAAAATGGTGTTAAATGTTGTTAAAACAAATCACATGTGATTACTAGGATTATTCCAAGACCTTACATGAGTTTTATGGGACATTTGAGGGGTGTTATGGAGTTTACGGCCCATGAGACCCTCCTCATGGCCGTGAACTCTTATATAGGGTCATACAAAGTGTTTCAAGGTCTAAAACTTGCATAGAAGGGCTTCTAAAATTCATCTAAAGGCTTTAGGGGTGTTTAGTTTGCATTCTAACATCAAAAATATTGGAGTTTACGGCCCAAGAACAAGCCTTGGCCGTAAACTCTTAGAATTCCCACAAATGATGTGTTTAAGTCCCTTAAACTATTTTTGGTTGGTCCTTTGATTTATTCCAAGGCTTTTGGTGGTGTTGGATGGCTTTCTAACACCTTAGAATTGAATGTATGCCTTTTTTTGGGGAGTTTACGGCCCAAGCACTCACCTTGGCTGTAAACTCACATAAGTCCCTCAAAAGTTATGTTTCAAGTGTCCAAATGCTAAAACCAAGGTCCTATAATTCATATCTAAACCATAGAAGTGATTTGGAAGGGTTTAAGGGCATGACAACCCTAATTATATGAGTTTACGGCCCAAGAATGATCCTTGGCCGTAAACTCCTTTAAACATCACAAAATTCATGTTTTAATTGTTTAAGGTCCATATCTTGAAGTCCCATAGCCATATCTAAAGTCCAATTGAGTTTAGGAAGGAGTTTAAGGGCTTAAAACCCCATTTAATGGAGTTTACGGCCCAAGCTTGCTCCTTGGCCGTAAACTCATGTTCTTGGTCCTAAAACTCAATTAGTTCATCAATTTGAAGGCTAAAGGTGTTGAATAACATGTTACGGAGGTTACCTTAAAGATTTGAGGCCTTAAACTTGAGATTTGGACCTTAATTCTAGCTTGAGGAGAGAGGTTGAAAGAGTTTAGTGAGAAATTGGCCAAAGGCTTCAAAAGGAGTCTTAAACATGTTTATATAGTGTTCGGGACTTGGACACGATAGAATTCTACCCGATACCGGCGTTAGACGGGGTTTTTGGTCGTACCCGATTAAGTTACCGTAATCTGATATGGTAATATCTAGAAATATTCCGATCACTAAAGTTGAGTGTTAAAATGATTTTTAAATGTATTAAGACACCCATTAAGTCATTTTAAATGTGTACTAGATAATGACTTAATTAAACGGAAGATCGGAAATCGAAATCGGAACGACGATTGGTTGCGCGAATTGTACTACGAAGGAGTTACAATAAATGATATGGAAATTTCGGGTTGTTACAGTACTGCCTCCCAGTTATTCGGTCTGGCGAATCCTTATTTGATAGAAATCTCTATATTCATTGGGATTAGTGAAAGATCGAGTTTCATTACCAAATCATCATAGAGATCAAATGTTTACTGCTAGTGAAGATCCAGTAAAGTCTAGTAAACTAGTCTTGTCTCGGAGTAGAGATTTTGAACAAAGTGTTCAAGATATCAATAATAATAAGTATGGATAATGTAAAGAAAATTAAGAACAATAAGAATGTAGAAGAGAGTGATTGGACAGAATAATTCTTGGTATTGATGTGAAAGAGAATGTTGCACTCGTGTATGAAACACTTAGAGTTACAATTCCTTAAATAGAATGGAATGACAAATAAGACAAATCTACTAAAGTGCATGAACTAAAAGACAAATGAGATCAACAGACTAACAAAGTCGCATTTGTTGATTTGTCACATGTACTGTACAATAAAACAACTACTAAGAGACAAACTAGTACTAGGAACATTTAATGAACATTACAGACTCATATGAAAAGCAACAAAATGATGTGTCTTGCATAGATCTATTTTGGAATTAGCAACACCATGGAACACTTCTCATTTCAGAATTAGCTTCACTTCGGATTGCTAAGGAAACAATTTTCATGTATCAACAATATCCACCTAAGCAACCTTAGAAATCTTTTGACTCAACATTTATCTTCGTTAGACAAATTTTGATAGGCACTTTCGAGCCAACTTCGGACGTCGATGTACCAACTGACATGCTCAATAATTTTCTTTTTCACATGTTCGGAAGAATCACTATTGGCTGCATTGGAGATGAACTTTAGGAGAATCTTGGTAAGAACGAGATGTTTGTCTAGAACTCAGAAAAATTCATTTTAAAAGTTAAGTGATTTGTTTTTTGTTTTTTCATGATAACATCCTACTTTTTTTTTCTCTTTTATTCCATTATAACATTGTACATTCCAAATAAGCCCTTAAAAGTTAAGTGATGTTCCAATCAATACATACATACGTATACATACAAATACACATATTGCATATACATACATATATACTTTCCATTATGTCATTGCACTTTCAAAATTGCTTACAAATAACAACCTACTTATTTTTTCAATTTTTTCCGTTATGACATTGTAGTTTCCAAATTGCATACAAGTACACACAGGTTAAGCCCTTGTACTTAAGAAATAAAGGTCATCATCATTATAGCATTATACTTTACACACACACAAACACACACACACACACACACACACACACACACACATATATATATATATATATATATATATATATATATATATATATATATATATATATAGAGAGAGAGAGAGAGAGAGAGAGAGAGAGATGCATGATACACATACAAATACACAAGTACATATATATATGTATATATATATATACTTATATCATACACATACACATATATACATACATTATACACATACATATACAGAATATACATTCCACATACAAAATAAAAAAATAAAAAGATGATGAATAACATGTGGAGGTGTAATATGGTGGAGAAGATTGTTATTGTTCAAAATTTTCAATATTTTTCGATACGGAGCTTCAAATCCCGACAGTATAGCTAGAAATTTTAGTAAAGAAAAGCTGGAAATTGAAATTTCCAGTGGGGAGAAGAGAAAAGGAAAAGAAAAGCAGCAAAAAAGAGAAGAAAGAAGAAGAAAACCTCACCTGCAGAAGCTTGGAGAGGGTGCCGATGTTTGTGAGGTGGGGGGGGGGGGATTGATTAGGTGCTCGCCGGTAAATGGGAGGTCACGATTGGAGGTTTTCTGGCGGTGAAATTCCGGCTCGTTCAAAGAGCTGATGGTGGAAACAATAAAATCATCGATATGTGGAGTGAATGTTAGGAACACATAACAAAAGAGGAAAGAGCGAACCGGAAGGGGTATTATTTGCGCAGACTTTAGCGGCTACGCAAGCGTATTAGCAACAACGGTGAAGTAATTGCGGCGACGCATGTCGTGAGGGAAGTTTTGGCACCATATATTATTAGCAGCGACACCGTCGCTGCTATTGCTATTGTACGCAACGAGGGTCCAAACCATTGGATTTGCAGCAAAATCGATAGATGGGGTGTAACAATCTTTGGTTTTCACACGGATCCACTACTACAAAAAAGGCTATAAAACCCGGTTAATATGGCTAATAGAACCCGGTTTTGCAACAGGGTTATATGAAGGCGAGTCTTATGTGAAAGTATAAAAAGAACCCGGTTTTGCAACCGGGTCTTATTAGGAAAATAGAGCTCGGTTTTACCTATGCAACCGGGTCTAATGAATTCAATAATATAGCCACTTTTCCTGTATGAAATCACATCTGATGAGGCCAGTTAAGACATTACACATACCACCAATTCCACAATCCCATGAGCATCCAAATGTTGTTAACAGAAGATAAAAAAATTGCCAACATAAAAACATGAAAGAGTAAGCAAAGAAACCTTCAACTACTTAATTAGGTAGATTCAACATTAAACAGAATATTTCAATTTAAAATGATCAACTGCTAATACCAACAATAAAGTTCAAACAATAATGAAAATATTGTTAACTAAGTTAAATAATTGTTGCAACTGACTAAATACAAAAACTAAAACTAGTAATGATGGTTCTAATCATTGTGAGTCCATCCTTCATCATTGTGCCTCTTGATTTGCCATAACTAAACATGAAAGAAGAACCAGGTTAGAACATCATATGCAGGGTAGGGGTTCTTAGTTTGGCACACAATGGTTAAAGTTAAACTAAAAGTTTGATGTTGTAAATATTAAAAATTAACCAGATATGCCTTTCTGCCCAACCACATCTTTCATATAGTTGTTCAGGAATTGTGTTGCCCACTTAACAACAGTTGAAAGCAAGGTGGTTTCAGAAAATGGAGTTGTGTCATTCCAAGGGGTAGCAGTCTATAAAACCATAAATTACAATTGTTATATAAGAAAGATAGAGTATATTGTGATAGACAAATGACAAAAAATATATATTTAAGTACTTACTCTACTCAAGAATCCGTGTTGTTCAACCATCACAAAATCTGTCATCCATTTCATTACATAATATCCACACTCCTAATCACCTGGTTGTTGGTTGCACTAAATTGTAATCACAAATGTACACTAATCAAACAAGTGAAATACAAAATCTATTTTTTTTTGGATATAGTGACATGAATTACCTCAGCGAGCGTCCAGCTAATTGGATTTGATGTGTCTTTCCCGTATCTTGCAAAAGCCCTAAAAAAGAAAAATTAGTGTTGTAATAAAAAAATATATAAAAGAAAGCAAATTTTAAGATATTTCTTACGAGTCAACATGTTTCTTGAGTAGGTAATAGGTATCCATAGGCTTTTGTATAGGACTCCTGATTGAATCCAATATGTACCCGGTGCGATTATGAGGGGAAATGACAAAGAGGACCTAATGCTCACTTGTAATTTTAAGGAATCAATATAAACTATAAATATGGAGAACATTTAACAATGATTATAGTAACATAAATAACCTTTGAAGATATGGAGCGATAAGAAATTGTTTTCCTTGATTAATTCGCATCGCATCAACAATGTAATTTATGACAGCTTCCGGGTTTTCTTGGCAATCTGCCCCAAGAATCCTATGCGGGTTTAGGAAAGAGCATTTGTTCTTCAAACGTGAGATCGAATGTAGATTCCTAAAAATAAGACAAAAACATGTTACGATCATCTAATATCTAAGCACCGGAGAAAAAATATTAAGAAATCTAAGTGTACTTACATCTGCCAAACTGTTAGAATGGTAACATCAAGTGTTCTTTTGTTCAACAAACGAAGAATTTCTTCTCGTGCAATCCAAAACTCAAATTTCTCGGCTTCTAAAATGCCATAAGCAGCTACAACATGAATTAATGGGTTGTTCTTTAATCACTCACGTAGTAATTCAATTGGCTTCGATTTGTTCATTGGAGTGAGTGTGTTCTTTTTTGTACACCCCCCTACAGTGGTTTGTAGCGAACTTGGAGTTGAATTCTTTAGCTTTCTTCCTTGTATCTATATCCACAAACCATTTGATTAAACACATTGGTAATAACTTGATGCATATATATATATATATATATATATATATATATACATATATATATATATAGTAACTCCAAAAATCAAGGATAAAAAGAATGTACCTCAGTTAGAATAATAGCATTTCGTGGCCATTGAATTATTTGGCCAACTACACTTTGAAGATTACTGGCTTCATCAGTCACTACAGGAATTGGAAGACCCTGAAAGTCTTTGTTGATTTTGTCTATCAAAACTTTAAGGTGGTTTTCAGGCATAGGGAGTGAGTGTATTAACCCATTCCCGTAGGGAAAGACCAGCCCACTAGCGCAATTCTGGTCCAATGCCCCATATGGCAACACCAATTTACATTGAGTAGGGTTCTGCAAGCAAGCAGGTTTTGTATATAAATAACACGAATGTTAAATACCTAATTGAAAGTTAAAATACAGTATCAAGATTAAAACTCAGGCAAATAGGTACACACAATTACCGTTATCTCAACCAAGGCTGGCATTGAGTCACAGCTACTATTCAGAACCCCTGGGCTCACATTGTCCACAACTTGCTTATTAGACTCATGCATCAATGCCTTTACCTCTACCACCTGTTTTGTAACCCTTGGGCTCACATTGTCCACAACTTGCTTGTTAGACTCCTGCATCATTGCCTTTACTTCTGCCACCTGTTTTGTAAGGTCATCTATCGTGGCGCGCATCTCATTCATAGATTCTTTCACATGCATTTTCCTCTTCTTCTTATCATTCCCTTGCATGGCTTTTCTCAGGCCGACAGTGTGACCAACTGCCCTAGTCCGGCCAGGGTGCTCCCTTCCTAACACCGCTGTCAACGAATCCTCTCCGGGTTTAGGCACCCAATCTCCCTGGGATATTTGACTTTCGACCTCTGCCTGTTAACAAAAACAACAGGATCATGTGAATAAATACTATACCAGTGTGTAATCTACAAAACCTTACATGTTGTTAAAAACATTCAATAAGAGCAACCTTAAGTAGGCTAGCTCCTTTGTTTCATGTATTAAAGGACTGATTTCATTTATATATATAAAGGTTTAAGACTGTGTAATTAATTCATTATCATGAAGGCTAAGTAGATGCATATATGGATCTGGGAAATTGCTACCTGATTGATATTCTCAAAAGAAATGCTATTGATGTTGTAGGGATTAGTTACAACATCAACATTTTATTGGAACAAAGCTAGCAAGGCATTACCAGATAAAACAACATTGATGTCCTTAAGCTGTTAGTTCAGACATTGATAATTAGCATTAATCTAGAATTCTATATTTCATGGTTAGCTTAACTTTATCTCACCATGCTTTGTAAATATACTAGAATTCAATTATTTCAATACAATTATAACAAAATTTAAAAAAGAAGAAATATCTTACAAGCTTAGTCATTGTTGGTTGTATGCCAGGTGGTGCATAATACGATACTGAATCAGTTTTAGATAGCTTACCCATGACAAAATCTCTTGAATGCTGGCTTTTTATCTTGCACAATTCTAATGCCAACTCTTCTGACAACCCTCCAGATGCAATCTATTTTTCCCACTGAGCTTGTTTACCCCGATATCCATGTAGACCTAATCGTGCAGGATTTTTTTGAAGCTTTGCATTGGCTCTCGCTTTCTCACTTATTGCCTGCAAAGATAGGTAACACAATTTAAACATTTGCATTACAATAATTAATTTCATCGAAAGAATCAGATGAACTAAAGTCCAACAAACCCAAAATTCCTTTGAAGATCTCTCTTTTTTGAAGGTTTTCCATGTATCAGGATCTAGATATGGGTAGATTGGAATTGGATCTCTTCCATTGGCCATGAAATCACGTATGAGCCTTTTCTTGTAGGATTTCCATGCAGTGTTGCAAATTTTAAGCACATCACCTTTGCGTTTGTTATTTTGAATATTCCATCGTCTCTGTTTATGTCAAAGTAAAGATTTTAACCGTTAATAACATATTCTGACTAAATGAAAACACATACAATAGGTCTTAGATATCATACTTTAATACTTAACCACAACATTTCAAGTTCACCCTGCAACACTTTCTTCCAAGTTCGATAATTGATAGAAATCATCGATCGTGTGAGGACTCCACACTCATTGGCAAACTTAATTTGTTTATCCCCATAATGCAGACCAAAATGATTGAAATCAACTTCTTGTGGCTCTTGACTGTCAATTAGTTGTGTGGCTATTCTCTTTTTTCTCTCTTGTGGTTGCGGTGGCTGTTGTGGTTGATCATCCATTGTATACCTCAATAGTTTATTGGCTATGGCGGTGATGAAGCTAAGCATTGATGTTATTTGTGTGTATTGCTGTATTGGGGACTTAACCTGGTGGTTTCTGAGTTTTAGTATCATAGAGGAGCTTAAAAACCGCATAGTGGGTCAAATGGCGGGATATCGAAAATTAATGGCGGTAAATTTTCTCCATTACACAACGTGGTTGATTGATGGTAGAAAGTAGAAAACGATTTGTTTTATAAGAAGTAGTTATGGTTAATTTTCATTATGGAAACAAAATTTTGATTAATTAATAACCTGTGATGGAAAATGATAACGTATAAGGTCCATTTACCATTAATATAATCTTGTTTTTTAATTCCCCATGCCTAATGTATAAGTTTAATTTCGATTGGTATACACTTGTTTTCTTAACTCTCCGTAATTAATATTCAGCCGTCATCCCTCTAAACCCTATAAATGAAACCCTGGCCCCTATTTGAGTGGTTTTTGAGTTTTTTTTTTATGGTATTTCATGCATTTTGGTGAGCTTTGAAGAAGAAGAAGCTTCTTAGAAAAGTGTGAAATTGCCTGGAGTTTTTGGATCCAACCTTTGTGCACCTTGATCTATCTTTTGGAGGTATAAAGTTTTTATCTTGATGAATCTAGGTGTTAGATATAGTTTAAGGAGTATATTGGGTTCATTTTGGGTCCTTAAAGTCATCATTATGAGTATGGACTACTCCAAGAGCTTTGTATGTTGGATGTTGACATTCGGGAGGTCTCTTGTTCATAAAAATGTCATCTTTATGAGTTATTGTGGTGCATGCATGAGTTTGGGTGATTATTACGGATTGTATTAAGGTTTTGGTCTCATTAAGCCTTGCAAAGGAGTAAAGTTGCCAACTTTACGTGTTAATCATCTCGTTAGGGTCATATCCAAGTTTGGAAGTCATTGTTTTAACCATTAAGAGCTTATTTTGGATTTTTGGACCCTGAAAGAGTACATAGGGCGTACGCATATTGGGCGGGGCCCATGTATATGACGGGCTAGGCTCGTTGTATGATGGGCTAGGCCCATTTGTGTGTTGTGCTAGGCCCATTGTATGTCATGTACGTGCTCACTATCTTTGTGACTTTTACATTTGTATGATAGGCTAGGCCTAATGGTTTGGCAAGGCTAGGCCCATTATGGTGGGTTGGGCCTAATATGCGGGTTATGCCCAATGGTTTGTATGGTATGTGGTATTTTGGGGAACCCACTATGCTTTGTGCTTACGGTTTTTATGGTATGTGGTATTTTGGGATGTTGCAAAGTTAGTTTAATTTGAACTTAAGAACAATCATTTTCAATAAAAACATTTCAATACAAACTAAATTTAAAAGGTTTTTTGGACCTAAATAATTAAACTGAAAGCCTAACTACATTAAATCTTCTCCAAACAAATCCAATGAGTAAGCACATCTTCTTATATCGTTGTTGTTCGACCTGTACTAAAACAAATTGTATTAATATGTTGATCATAATAGCAACTTTACAATGAATTTTGTTTGCTTCAAATCAAATAACTAGGTTGTTACCTTTTAAAAGTGTATTATGCCATCATTCCCATAATCCTTCATCATGGTCAGATCTTAAGTAAGTGGTATCATCAACATTATCATCCGAAGATGGGATACCAATGGAAAATGGAGGTAGCTCATCAAAATGATCGTATTCTTCTTCATCTGTGACATCATCAACACCGAGTATACGTCGTTTACTGTGCAAGACAATGTGACATCCTGAATCTTTCGGATCCTCAACAAAGAATACTTGGGTGGCTTGCTTGGCTAAAATAAATGGCTCTGATGCATAACCATTTGTTGAAAGATCGACAATAGTGAAACCATCGTTGTCAAGTTTAACACCTCGTTAGTTGTCAACCCACCAGAACTTGAACATGGGTACAATGATGGAATCATATTTCAATTCCCAAATTTCTTGAATGACACCATAGTAAGAGTCTTTAGCGATCTTGCACCTTTCCTCGTGATTAGCCCCACTGAATTCCATTGTAGAGGCTATTAGTGTCACTCCATTATTTTGAAATGTACTTTTACCATCTTGCCGATTGGTGTAAAATGTATACCCATTGATATCGTAGCCTCGGTATGTTGCCACAAGATTTTGCGGACCATTTCCCAAACTCACTACTACTTCATCCATCCTTTCTCCGTCATAACTTGCTTTCACTTTATTTTTCAGCCATTTTGCAAAGGTTTTGTTATGCTCGATAGTCAACCATCTTTCGCCCTTATTTCTATGCTTCTTCTGTAGCATTCTTTTGTGCTCATTTATGTATGGAGCAATGATTGTCATGTGTTGTAACACTGTAAAATGTGCAAGATGAAATTCCTCACGATCTAGAACGAGCCTTTTCAATCCAATTGTCCTGGTCCCTACAAGTCTACCCGCATGTCGAGATCTCAGAATGCCAATATTGTTGACACCTTGAAGATAGTCTGTACAAAATTCAATCGCCTCTTCTGAAGCATATCCTTCAATAATACTACCCTCTGGTCGATTTTGGTTCCTTACATACCCTTTTAACACATTCATATATCTCTCGAATGGATACATGTATCGTAGGAAAACTGGATCGCTTTGCCATGAATCCATGAGATATCAGGTGAACCATTAAATCAAAAAAAGAAGGTGGAAAGTACATCTCGAGTTGGCATAAAGTCATGATAATATCACTTTGCCATGAATCCAACTCTTCGTGGCTAATAACTTTTGAATGAATCATGTTAAAAAACAAGCAAAGCTTTGTGATCGTGTGTCGAATACGGTCTGGAAGTATTCCACGAATTGCAATGGGAATCATATGTGTCAACAAAACATGACAATCATGGGATTTCATACCTACCAATTTTAAGTCATTCATCGACACCAACTTCTTAATGTTAGCAGAATAGCCAGATGGAACCT